GGCAATACTGGATTGTAAAGGAATTCAACTTTTTGCAATTGGCCAACGGTCCGAAATCGGTTCCCGTGAAATCGCAATTCATAAATTTAAGGGTACTCAGCGAATCCGCCTGTGATACCAGCGCCGGCACAATTTTCTCGGCACCAAATCTCAAACCCGACAGCCTGAACTCGGTCAACTGCGTCTGGGCATTGATGATGTCGACGATGGAATTTACCACGTCCATTTTGTCGGTTAGGTAAGGAAACCTCAGTTCCATAATCAATATTTTATGACAGTATTTGGAGATGTATTTTAATAATTTCAAGGTGTTTCTGGTCATCTTGCCTGTGTATTCGAGCTCAAGTCTTTGGAGACTTGATAGGGCATATTCGGCGGCGGAAAATAGCGAGCTCCGGGGCAAATCCATCGCGCCGTAGAATTTAGTGATCTCAATCGAAGAGACCCTTCGACTTTGACGCATGAACAATTGACACAGAACGCTGGTGATCAAGATAGTTTGTTGGTGCGTGCTGCGGCCAGCCACCTCGCTTATATACTTTCGAATTCCCGAATCGACAGCCATATACAACTTGTTGTACGAAAACCTCTCTAGGTACGTAGCATATTCGAATAGGACTTGCGACGAATAGGGAATCTCCACCCTGTATTTTCTCAACGCATAGTTCAGGCCCGATCTCTCCTCTCCCTCCAAACAGGAGATGTAGGTACGAATCAACTTGAATCGATTTTCTAGAGATACGTTGTCGAATGGTCGAGCCCAGAGTAACGGTATCACCGTAGAACACCAATGTTTGTTGACCAACAAGCAAGAGACGATGTCACGCTTCCTTTCTACATGCTTAATTATAAGTCGCATACATTCTGCCGGTAGCCGGGAGGCTGCCTTCTCTTTAATCAGGTTCTTAGGTTCGGCCTGATACTGGGACATGGATATCAATGAATCGCGACGTCCCCTTCGTCCCATGTTAAATATCTCCTTCATGGTACTCCTCCTGAAAGTGGAAGAAGGCTTTTTTACTTTGTAGTCATTGAATATCTCTCTAACTTCGACTTCCATTTTTTTGTTAGGGTTGTTTTTATTATTGATGGTAGATGATGACCTTTTTTTTATTGGAGATTTTTCGGAAGTTTGGGGTGAGAGCCTTTTATAGTTCAACAGATTGATTATAAACCTTGTGCATAAACAGCAGTGTTCGGTCATCTGTTGTTCTTTTTTAAGTGGTGTACAAATATTGATTGTTTGATTTTTTTTTTGTTTTATCCGTCTGCCTGTCGTCCAACACATCCACATTTGATTAATGTATTTATAAGAACCGAGGTGACACAACTGACGAATACTTCTTTATTTAATACTCGTTCTTATCACTGATTGTCATTTCATTTTTACTAAAATATTTTCCTCTCCAGTGATTGCGCCGGTACATGACAAAGTTGGGCGCGTGATGCGGGAGAAACTACAGGACTATACAAGACAACCTCGATTGCCGTGTAACTGTTATACAAAATCTCTACTGTATTAAAAAAAAAAAAGAAGTAATACATATATATATGTATATATATATATATATATATGTATGTGCACATGTGTACAGTATAAACAACGTACATATATAAATAAGGTTTTAATTACGTAAACCGCATGAAACCCATCAGCTAAAGGGAATTTAATTATCGTTATATTTACCAATGAATTATTATTATTACTGAATTCTGAGCCGCATCTTGGGTTTCATTTCGACCTCCTTGATATTTATTTACCCTGGGAAAAATTTTCTTTCCTTATTCTAGGTGTTCTCCTATCACTCTTACCTTGGTCCCTGCACCGTTGGATTTTTACCTTTTTTTCCTTGCATTTTTACATTGGATTTTTTGATTTTATTTTTTTGTCCTTTTATGTCTAGCTACAATCCAACCCACTTTAACCGTATTTGATCAATTCGACCGGATGGATTTTTACCTATCTACTTATTTATATTAGGTTAAATAAACTGCCGATTTACAATCTATCATGTCATTTTTTCTGATGACTTCTGTTGCTCAGATATCATAAGAACAACGATAGGGGCGTGTGGATTTGTTTAGCTCCAAAGGTGTCTGGTGATTCACGCTATTCTTAATTTGGGATTAACGGAAAAGTTCCGTTCTTTTTTTTTTGATCGGCAAATCAAAAGATGTCCGCGCGTATTTACCCAACGTTTTCATCTTCTCGTCGGCATCTGAATCATCCGCTGATGCTTCATTCGACGTGAAAGGATTGACCGCACAAGCAGGATCCAGGGTGTGCAAATCGACCGGCTATTGTCATCATTATTACTGCATAGCATAATTAACTTCAGGATCGATCGCCCGTTGCTGCGAATTATCCACATCCCACATCGTGCGTGCATCCTGACCTATTACCAGACGAGAGGAGAAAAAAAGAAATTCATTCTACGATGTAAATCCACTTCTTTACAGAAGAAGAAAGAATTTTCCAACTCGAGCGCCGACCTACATACGTGCGCTTATTTCTAATTTCCATCTACATTGATCAACCGTCATAGTGCCTTACTTTGTGAGAATTTCCTTTTTGCTTAGCCTGCATGAGTTCAAAAAAAAAAATTTTTTTTCTTTCTCTTTTTTTTTTTTCATGATTTCTATATCTTTTGTTGGAAATGTCTTTGTCACACGGTGAAATATTTATTGAAAAAAAAAAAGACCATCATGCATTCGAATAGAATGTAAAGTCGAGTATCGTTATTGTTAGTCTGCCATTTGGTATTATTGTTTTGCCGCATTATTGTTAGCCCCAGGCATCATTGTTAGCCTCAGGCATCATTGTTTCCTGCACACTTACCCGTTTTTTCGTCTTCTCCCCTTTCCTTCTTTCCCTCATAGAAAAAAAACTAGGCCGATTAAGAAACTTCCACAAGCCCAATCGAAAAAAAAAAGATCTTCATACAATAGAATAGCGCTCATTCTTTCCTGTTTTCGAACCCGTTTTATAAAAAAAAAAAAAAAATGAAAAATGAAAAAAAAAATAATAATAATATTTATTAAATGTCGTAAATAAAATAATTAAGTAAAAGAAAGAAAATCAAGATCCATATTGTTCATACACAACCAGACATTTCAATTAAACATGAGACACAAATCACCCTGATTGCCAAGATTCTTTGGTGAAAACTTCCACCCGCCATACCGATCGATTCAGGATTCTGGTGTTAACTGTGATGTGTTCAACGGTCGAAAGGAAAAGCCCCATGTGCTCGCCGGTTTGAATCCAGCCGTTTGTTGTTCGTCCTCCGTTTTGATGTTTTCTCCTTATGGCGGCGAAGTCGCATTTTACGTCAATCCGTAAGATAATTGCGTATCACTTTCCTCAAGAAGTAATCACAAATCATGTAGATAACAATTACGTGATCGTTTTTAAATTATGTATCAAAAACCAAAAAAATCCGTTTGCCCATCTGAGAAAATAATATTTGCATTTAAACGAACAATCTTTAAAATTGCCATTCAATTAACTCATTCATTCTTGTGGCATTATTACTAAATTGAATTTATAATTGTGTACCACAATAATAATAATAAAAAAAAAAAAAGGTTTGCGTTGTAATTAAAAAATTAGGTTTGAAGTAGGCTTGTTTTGTAAGTTTAACGATACCGTTAAGCTGTTGGTATAACTTAATAAAACAATTAATAAAATAAGGAACAATAATAAAAATAGGTGTAATCAAATAGACGCGAACATGAAAAAAAATTTTGACTGGCTCAATATTTTATAAGTAAGTAATCTATTTTTAAAAGCATAAAGACATTGATTTTTTTCTTAATTTATTAATAAACCAAGGTTTTAGATAAATCATATTATTTGTAAAATACTGTAAGATATTGTTTCAAATAATTTTCTTCTTGATTATTCTTTATTAAAATAAACTCTTTCTTGATTTTTTTTATTGGAAATTTATTTTTTTTAAAAAATTTATTTTAATTAAATATAGTAAAGAAAATATAAATTTAATAATTTAATTCCATTTTAATGTTAATGATAGAATAAACCCTTCAAAAAGAATAATTGAAACCTATCAACTTTTTAAAAAGAACAATTGAATAAATAACAAATTATAAAAGTATTCTTTAGATATCTTATATACACTTTTCAATTCATTTTTTAAATACTTTATTACAATTAATTCAATATATCATTCATAATTCTTTTAATTAATTCTATTTTATTATTATATAATTTATCAATAAGCAATATTTTTTAAAACTCCTGAAATTTAACATTAATACAATATAACAATAAAAATATCAATTACAAAATTAAAAAAAAATAATAATAAGAAAATATATAGTTGCTTTCAAAAGTTTGAGTTTACTTTATTATAAATTTCAACTTTGACAATTTTTAAATTATTAATTATATAAACCTGTAGGTCAATAATATAGTGATAGTACTCACAGGTTGTAATTACAGATCTGTAGTTCAATATCACTTAAGAATCAAAATCAAAAATTATATTTCTAATCAAATTTATTAGTTATTCTATAAAAGTCATATCCAATTATCTGAAACAAGTTTAAATCAAGTTAAGTTGTATGAAGATGCAACTTCTGGCCTTCTATTAATTAAGAATTGAGATCTATAATTATACTACTGAAAGAATTATATAAAGAAAGGCTTCTGGTCTAATCCACCATAAATACTTCAAAGGTTTCCTACCTTGGCAGTCTTCAGGACCCTTACTTTTCTAGTTTAGGATAGATCAATATAATATTCTACTTAAATGAAAATCAGTTAACTAGAATCAATCTAATGTTATAGATAGTGATAAAAAAGGTAAAGTGCCATCTTCTGAGGTCTAAACAAATAATATCTAGAAATATTAGAAGGTAAAATTAAATCCTATTAAAAACATATTATGTAAACTAGTTTAATAAATATAATATAAAAAGTTATAAAAGTTTAATATTAAATTAGTCTGTTTTACTATTGATAACTATGTATTTGACTATTTGGCCCCTAAGCTAAGTCTGCCTTACTCACAAAGTGGTAATAAATCTATCTAGGACAAATCATGATAGATTATCTTTTTTTTTTTTTAAAAAAAAACCTCTGTCAGGTTAGATATGTGTGCTTTATTAAACATATGTATACTTTACATTGAAAATGTATCACTAAAGCTAAGTCTCTACCTAACTCACTCGTC